ATTCATTTCTTCAATCAATCTTAACATAAATTGCCAATTTAACTGATCAAAGAGCTGTCTACTACCCTTGAACATATATACTATATGGTGTTGGGAATCACCCAACCGGGCAGGAAGGAGGGAACAAGCACATAGATAGCCTGAAGTCACTGCAACTGCAGAAGAGCTGGGATTGACCACATTAAATTCCTTGGATTAGGCTGCCAGACTGGGGAGATTTCTCTGTTATAGGCAGAACATAATAAAGTAGTCAGCTTGAATTCTGCTCATATAGTTTTGGTTGTTCACCCCTGACAGAAGGAGACCCCATCATGACTAACCAGGGTGGATAATAATCGATGATTTAAAAAAAAATCAGATTTTTTTATTTAAATCAGATTTTTTTTATTTAAATTAAATTTATTTTAATAAAATGCTTTTGGAGTAAAAATCTATGTAAATATAGTTTTCTATTTAAGATACATTAATGATTTAGTTTATTCAGCATGAAATATATGTAGCATGAGGCTGTATATTTTGCAATATTTACATGTTTGGTAAACTCATTCAATGAATCCAGGCTCTGTAAGCTGAGATAACATGCACTGCATTGATGCATTCACACAATTTTACAGTAACCATGAGATAGATCATAAAACAAAGTTCAGGAATATTCCTTTATCCCTTTGTTTTGCAAATCTATGTACGCTGCAAACTGTATGATTGTTTGAAGAGAAATGCATCTGTACCAAGCTCTAAGTGTTTTAATTAAATAAAAGAAGTTGGGTACTTCTCCAACTATGTGAGATTAACCTATTAACATAAAATCGGTTCTGATAACGCTGTTTTACTAACTTGACAGCTTATTATTCTAAATAGGAAACCTTCATTTTGTTTGCAAATAATAATATTAAAAATTCTAACAACAGCAAAATGAGTCCTTACATTTAAAGAGCACCTGTCATTTCAGATCCATCATGGCAGCACCTGGTTAGTGGGTATCCACTCACCTGCTGCCCGCCACGTCCCTCACCTTGTAGTGTCACTGCCACATCATCAGCTGTCCCATTAAAATGAATGGGACTATCGGTGAATCAACAGCGGGTCAGAGGAGGAGCCACTGCGGGACAGAGATGACAATTGCTCTTTAAAAATTACAATTTTAATTGGGTTGATTTAAATCAAGCCTTTTTACTAGTGATTTAAATCATGATTTAAATCGTGATTTAAATCAATGTGATTTAAATCAAATCCACCCTGCAACTAACTACTTCTATGACACTTACTGTTATTTCCTATTCAAGAATTCTTAATTTTGTGAATGGCACAATATTTCCCCTTTCCCATTGACTGGAAACATAGTATTTTAATACAAGTAAATAGTAAGAGCAGCCATTGTCCATTGATTTGGCCAGGGAAACCATGCTACAAAACAAAAGTGCCCTGCTTTTCTTGATCCTGCAGATTCTTCCATTAGAAACCCCAGATTGTTCCTGTTCCATCTGACTAAAAAAATATTTTTCTTAAACAGACTAACTTTTAGTTTCATTTTTACTGCTATAAACTTCTGGTTTTTAAAAATTTTTCTAAAGGCCCTGTGGGAAAATTAAAAAGTGAGTCACTGTAGTGCAATGCATTGTTGGGAAATTCAGTCCCCACCTAGAAAAGGACAAAGGCAAGCAGAGGAGCTAGAGAGGGAGAGCCACCCCCAAAGTTTGCCTTTTGATAAATGGTTGATTTATTATTAGTTATAACAATCATGGCATCTGTTATGTCCTGGGCTTGCTGAAGCATTCAGCAGGCTCAGAAATGATGCAAAGGGTCCCGGGAAAACCACAAGACTGCCCAGGACCAGACTGGCTGTTTCCAGCCTTGTGCGCATGCGCAAGGCGCGAAAACAGCCTTGCATTCATTGGCTGATGCTGGCCTTTGGAAGAACACTATAAAAGGCTTGTGCGCCATTTTTGCTGTTGCTGTTTGTTGGTGAATGAATAAAAAAGACTTGCTATTCAAATTACTCGCAAATTTAACAGCTAGACGTAGTCAAAAAAGAGATGACAAGACTGAACAATACTGGGATACAATCCCCAAAATGACAGAATGATCTCAATTCGAATCCAAGGCAAATCATTCAATATCACAATAGTCCAAATCTATGCTCCAACCACTGGTGCTGAAGAGGATGAAATTAACCAGTTTTATGAAGCCCTACAGCACCTTATAGAATTAACACCAAAAAATGATGTCCTTATCATCATGGGGGATTGGAATGCTAAGGTAGGAAGCCAAAAGATAACCGGAATAACAGGCAAGTTTGGCCTTGGACTACAAAATGAAGCAGGGCACAGGCTAATAGAATTTTGTCAAGAGAATACGATGGTCATAACAAACACTCTTTTCCAACAACCCAAGAGACGGCTCTACACATGGACATCACCAGACGGTCAATATAGAAATCAGATTGACTATGTGCTCTGCAGCCAAAGATGGAGAAGCTCTATACAGTCAGTAAAAACAAGACCAGGAGCTGACTGTGGCTCAGATCATGAGATTCTCGTTGCAAAATTTAGGCTTAAATTGAAAAAAGTAGGGAAAAGCACTAGGCCACTCAGGTATGAACTAAATCATATTCCTGATGAATATACAGTAGAGTTTACAAATAGATTTAAGGAATTAGATCTGATAGACAGAGTGCCTGAAGAACTATGGATGGAAGTTCGCAACATTGTACAAGAGGTAGCAACTAAAACCATCCCAAAGAAAAAGAAATGCAAGAAAGCAAAATGGCTGTCTGAGGAAGCTTTGCAAATAGCTGAGGAAAGAAGGGAAGCGAAAGGCAAAGGAGAAAGAGAAAGATACACCCAATTGAATGCAGAATTCCAGAGAGTAGCTAGAAGAGATAAGAATGCCTTCTTAAATGAACAGTGCAAAGAAATAGAAGAAAACAACAGAATAGGGAGGACCAGAGATCTCTTCAAGAAAATTGGAGATATGAAGGGAACGTTTCATGCAAAGATGGGCATGATAAAGGACCAAAATGGCAGAGACCTAACAGAGGCAGAAGAGATTAAGAAGAGATGGCAAAACTACACAGAAGAACTATACAAGAATGAGCTTAACATCCCAGATAACCACAATGAGATGGTCACTGACCTCGAACCAGACATCCTAGAATGTGAAGTGAAATGGGCCTTAGAAAATCTGAGCAACAACAAAGCTAGTGGAGGTGACAGTATTCCAGCTGAGCTATTCAAAATCTTAAAAGACGATGCAGTAAAAGTGCTACACTCAATTTGCCAGCAAATTTGGAAAACTCAACAGTGGCCACAGGATTGGAAAAGGTCAGTTTACATTCCAATTCCAAAGAAAGGCAATGCCAAAGAATGTTCAAACTATCGCACCATTGCACTCATTTCACATGCTAGTAAAGTTATGCTTAAAATCCTACAAGCTAGACTCCAGCAGTATGTGGATCGAGAACTACCAGAAGTACAGGCAGGATTTCGAAGAGGCAGAGGAACTAGAGATCAAATTGCCAACATACGCTGGATCATGGAGAAAGCTAGGGAGTTCCAGAAAAACATCTACTTCTGCTTCATTGACTATGCAAAAGCCTTTGATTGTGTGGATCACAACAAATTGTGGCAAGTTCTTAAAGAGATGGGAGTACCAGACCATCTCATTTGTCTCTTGAGAAACCTATATGCGGGTCAAGAAGCAACAGTGAGAACTGGACACGGAACCACTGATTGGTTCAAAATTGGAAAAGGAGTCCGGCAAGGCTGTATACTGTCGCCCTGCCTATTTAACTTATATGCAGAGCACATCATGAGAAAGGCAGGGCTAGATGAATCAAAAGTTGGAATTAAGATTGCCGGGAGAAATATCAACAACCTAAGATATGCAGATGATACCACTCTAATGGCAGAAAGTGAAGAGGAACTAAAGAGCCTCTTGATGCGGGTGAAGAAGGAGAGTGCAAAAGTTGGCTTGAAACTCAACATTAAGAAAACCAAAATCATGGCATCCGGCCCTCTCAATTCCTGGCAAATAGATGGGGAAGAAATGGAGGTAGTGACAGATTTTATTTTTCTGGGCTCCAAGATCACCTCAGATGGGGACTGCAGCCAAGAAATTAAAAGACGCTTGCTCCTGGGGAGGAAAGCTATGGCAAATCTAGACAGCATACTAAAAAGCAGAGACATCACCCTGCCAACAAAAGTGCGTATAGTCCAGGCCATGGTTTTCCCAGTTGCAATGTATGGCTGTGAAAGTTGGACCATAAGAAAGGCTGAGCGCCAAAGAATTGAGGCCTTTGAACTATGGTGCTGGAGAAGACTCCTGCGAGTCCCTTGGACTGCAAGGCGTTCAAACCGGTCAGTCCTAGAAGAGATCAACCCCGACTGCTCTTTAGAAGGCCAGATCCTGAAGTTGAAACTCAAATACTTTGGCCACCTAATGAGAAGGAAGGACTCACTGGAAAAGGGCCTAATGCTGGGAAAGATTAAGGGCAATAGAAGAAGGGGACGACAGAGAATGAGATGGCTGGATGGAGTCACTGAAGCAGTAGGTGAGAATTTAAATGGACTCCAGAAGATGGTAGAGGACAGGAAGACCTGGAGGAACGTTGTCCATGGGGTTGCGATGGGTCGGACACGACTTCGCAATTAACAACAACAACAACAACAACAAGGGAATTCTGAAGCCCTGGGGAAAGTTCAGCGTCCAGAATTTAACAGTGGCGACAAAGGTGGGATCGCTGCAAGCAAGATTACCAACAGAAGAAGATAGGACTCACCAAGGGAATTCTGAAGTCCTGGGGAAAGTTCGTTGTCCAGAATCGCGACTCTGCCTGCCAGTACAGGATCGGGAGGTGAGCTCAGCAGAAGTACCCTTTTCCAACAAAAGGTTTGCAGTGAAGGTGTTGACGAGGGTTGCAGAAGGCTAAGATGTCTAAGATAGGCCGGTTGTCAGACTTTTATATTTCCCACCTAGAACACTGGAACTCATTCTTGACGTAGATGGAGAATTACTTCAGAGTAAATCAGATAAGAGAAGACGGCCTTAAAGCAGCTACCCTGCTGCGTGTTTGTGGACAAGAAACATTTGACATAGCAGAGAATCTGGTGGCCCTGGCGCTTTTGGAGTCAGTGTCTTATGCAGATTTAAAGAAGATCCTGAAAGAACGTTTCCAACCTAGACTTTCAGTGATTGCTTGGCGACACGCGTTCAAGCAGAGGGACCAGAGGCCTGGTGAGTTTGCTGCAGACTTTATTGCTGCCTAAAGGCAAGCAGCGAGGCCTTGTGAATTCAGGGATCTGGAAGAGAGACTGTGGGATCGTTTCGTTTGTGGCCTAAGAAGTCGTGAGCTGCAGCAGAAGATCTTCGCCAAGAAAGATGTTTTGTTCCAAGACGCCTTGAGAGAGGTTGCAGCTGAAGAAGCAGCGGGCGGTGCTATGAAGGCCTTGCAGCTTGCCAGAAATCCTTCAGCCACCATTACCGTCCATCAAGAGATCGCTCGAGAAGATCCAGAACAGGATCCTGAAGAGGAGGTGGATAGGCTGCACCAGTCAGCGGAGAGAAGGCCGAAGGAGTGTCCAGACAAGGCCCCAGCATTTCCTCAGTGTTTCGGGTGTGGAGGACGCCACAAGCGCGTTGACTGCAGATTCCGCTCTGCCATTTGCCAGGCATGTGGCAGGCAAGGCCACATTGGGTCCGTCTGTTTGGGTCACCAGAAGGTCTGGCCTCAGGAAGAATTGCTTCAGAAAGGTACCAGGGTCTCCAGCCAACACAGGGTGGGTTTCTGCAAGTCGCACAGGAGCATTTTAAGGACAGGAACACATAAGCCACTTCAAAAAAGCTTCACATTGATGTGAAGTTGCAGGGGGTTCCCTTGTCAATGAATTTGGACACAGGGTCCGCTCTATCGATCATTTCTCATGACACCTTCAAAAGGATTTGCAGCAGTAGTGGCCTACGAGTAAAACTCAGGTCATCGAACTTAATTCTCACTGACTTCCAGAATTCCAGAGTCAGCATGAAGGGGGAGGCCACACTCAAGGTGCAGCATAGGGCTTTTGAAGGCCTACTAGATGTGGTGGTAGTTGGGGGTGATCACACGAGTCTCATTGGATTCGATTGGTTCAAGGCCCTTGGAATCCAAGTGACTGGGCTTCACAGCCTGCAAACGTCAGGCCTTGAAGAAGTCTGTAAGGAGTTTGCTGATGTGTTTACCACAGAGCGTGGCTCATACAAGGGGCTTCCCATTGCCTTACGCTTAGACCCAGCTATCACACCCATTAGGATTAAGCCTAGAAGGATGCCTTTTGCTCTCAAAAGCAAAATTGATGCAGAGCTGGACAAGCTGCTCCAGCAGGGCATCTTAGAACCTATGCACTCTAGTCCATGGGAAACCCCCATTGTAATGTCTCTAAAGGCTAATGGAGAAGTCCAAATTTGTGCGGACTATAAATGTACACTGAACAAAGCGCTGCAACAGCATGCATATCCAGTGTCTGTGTTGAGCCACATTCTGGCCTCCCTTAAGAGGGGGCAGATTTTTGCAAAAATTTGATTTGGCACAGGCCTACCAACAGTTGATGAGGCAACATCTGAGGCTCAAACAATTGTAACACACCGAGGAGCACTTAAGGTCAAAAGATTGCAGTTTGGAGTTAATGGGGCCCCTGGTATCTTCCAAAGTGTAATGGAGCGTATGCTCCATGGTATTCCTGGGGTCTGTCCCTACTTCAATAATGTCCTCATTGCCGGGAAGTCATCTCTAAACTTAGCTGAAAGATTAAGGGCTGTCTTGCTTCATTTTCGCCAAGCGGGTCTGAAGCTGGAGCAAGATAAATGTAAAATTGGAGTCACTTCCACTGAATTCTTAGGCTTCAGAATTGATGCTCAGAGCATCCATCCTGCTGAATCCAAGCTCCAAGCAATTCAGCAGGCCTCAAGTCCCAAGTCCAAAAGCGAACTTCAGGCTTTTCTGGGACTCTTAAACTTTTATCATGCATTCCTTCCACACAAGGCTGCAGTGGCTGAGCCGTTATACCGGCTCTTGGATAAACAGGCTCCATGGCAGTGGACAAAGGTCCATGAAAGGAGTTTCAATGAAGTTAAGGCCTTGCTCTCTTCAAATGCGGCCTTAGCGCATTTCAATGAGCAATTGCCAGTGTGCATCGCATGTGATGCATCCCCTTATGGGATGGGAGCAGTACTTAGTCACCTGAAAGCTGATGGGACACAAGTCCCTATGACCTACTCTTCAAGGACTCTATCATCTGCAGAGCGTAATTACCCCCAGATTGACAGAGAAGCCTTGGCCATAGTGGCTGGCATAAAGAAATTTCATGATTTCTTATATGGCTGCCACTTCACGGTCTATACAGACTATAAGCCTCTGCTGGGTTTGTTTACCACAAACAAGCAAACCCCTCACATAATATATCCTAGAATGCTGAAATGGTCAATTTTCCTGTCAGCATATGACTATACACTGATTTACAAACCTGGGAAAGAAATGGGTCATGCAGATGGCCTCAGCAGATTACTTCTACAAAAGATAAAGGCTGATCCTGCCCCTGCTATTCACATCCTCTCCATTCAGGAGTTGCCTGAATCTCCCCTCAATGCTAGGGACGTGGCTGCAGAAACTGCCACTGATCACACACTTACACGTGTGCTGACATGGGTGTTGTCAGGATGGCCTGGCGCATGTCCAGGTACTGAGTTTCAAAGCTTCTGGCAAAGGAAGCATGAGCTTTCCATTTTCAAAGGGTGCCTTTTATGGGGTAGCAGGGTAGTCATCCCAGCCTCATTGAGGACTAGAGTCTTGCTCTTTCTGCATGAGGAACATCCAGGCATAGTCCAGATGAAAGCGCTTGCGCATAGCCATCTCTGGTGGCCTGGGCTCGATAAAGAGATTGAGGCCCAAGTTCATGGGTGCCAATGTGCCAACAGTCCAGGCCTGAAATGCCTCAGGCCCCTGCATACAGGTGGGAGGAAACACAGTCCCTTGGTAAAGGGTACATATAGATTACGCTGGGCCCTTTCAGGGGCAATTCTTCCTTCTCCTCGTTGACAGCCGTTCCAAGTGGCTAGAGGTTGTGCCTGTTTCCTCCACTACTACTGCTAGGATCATCCAGGTGTTGAGAGGAATCTTCACCTCCCATGGACTTCCCGATGTCCTGGTCTCAGACAATGGCCCCCAATTTACTTCTTCTGAGTTTCTGGCTTTTCTACAGGCCAACTTGATCTGGCATGCAACTTCAGCACCATTTCATCCATCTTCCAATGGCCAGGCAGAGAGGATGGTGTGTCCTACCAAAGATGCTCTCAAGAGAATCACTTATGGCAGCTGGCATCACAGGTTAGCTGATTTCCTTCTTTCACAATGCACCACACCTTGCACAGCCACAGGAAAGAGCCCAGCAGAACTCCGTTGGGGTCGCCGCCTCATCACAAAAGTGGACAGGTCGCACCCAGACCGGGTGGCTTCACAGGTGTCACAGCCATGGGCACCTAGGAGATACAGGTGGGCAATCCGGTCTGGGCAAGGAACTATGGACCTGGACATTTCTGGGTCACAGCAGTGGTATGCAAGGTCTCTGGGCCGCTGTCATATGAAGTGGCCTTGGACGATGGGCATGTTATCCGATGTCACATAGACCAACTGCGCCGGAGGCTTCCCAGCAACACTTCCACTCCTGGCTCTGCTCTCAGGGGGGAGGAGGACCATAATCACAATTCTGGACGACAGTCTTCGCGCTCTAGCAGTTCTTTACACGCTGCCGCACATGTTCCAGTGGCAGAAAGGGGGCATTCGCACAGTTCAGCTATTGCTCCAGACAGGGAGTTTCCAGAAAAGGGGTTTGCCATGGAGGCAGCTCCTGACTCTGGCACCTCTGGCACATACACAGGGGCCATGGGTTATTGGGGCACATCAGCCACTCAGGTCACTCAAGCTGCTGGTCTTGGGCTCGAGGGACAGTGCTCCCAAGAGGAGTCCATTGTGGACTTGGGGAATTCCATCCCACCACTGGACTTGGGGACTTCCACCCCCCCAAGGAACCCTGGCTTGGATTTAGAGGATCCAGCCAGTCAGCAGCTGGGTGGGTCACCTGGGTCTTTGGAGCACCAAAGTCCTGGTCTGCCTAGCTTGGCAGGTGAGCTGGCAGGCCAGGCACACACACTGGCCATAAGAAGGTCACAGCGGGACAAGGGTCCACCTAAACATCTTAAAGACTATGTGAGGTTTCTGTCAAGGATAAGGGAATCTCACTAGTTCTTCAAATTGCAGAACAATGAAGGGGTGCTACACCTCAAGGTATTAAGCATTGTGATTGTATTCTTGTACATATTAAAAAAATGTAGGAGTGGTCTGCCTGTGTGCAGGCATAATGTATAACAACAACATCAACCTGCCAATTGAACGCATGTATGTGTGCTGCTATAACAATAAGGGTACTTATTGTTTTATCTAGGGGGGAGGGGTGTTATGTCCTGGGCCTGCTAAAGTATTCAGCAGGCTCAGAAATGTTGCAAAGAGTCCCGGGCAAACCACAAGGCTTCCCGGGACCAGAAAACAGCCTTGCATTCATTGACTGATGCTGGCCTTTGGAAGAACACTATAAAAGTCCTGCGGGCCATTTTTGCTGTTGCTGTTTGTTGGTGAATGAATAAAGAAAACTTGCTGTTCAAACTACTCACAAATTTAACAGCATCCAATACATCTTCATGACATCCACAATCCAAACTGAACCTATCTCTGGAGTAAAGGAATAGAAGCTGTACAATAAAGTGGAAACAGCAATACATTTACAAGTTATTTACAATTTAAAGTGTAGATGAAGCCCTCGTATTGATGCATAGATAACTGCTACTCAACAATTCCAAGAGCCAAGATTATTATCTGAGAGAAGCAGGTCTGGCTAAAAAGCCCTGTCTTGCCCCAAAAGCAAAGCCTGTCCATAGGCACTGTTGTCTTCCAGCATAGATATTGAAAAGCCAATATCATTTTTACTCTTCCTAGTCTTCCTTTCCCATAGTTGCCCTTCCTCTGTAACTGTGTGCAGTTTTCTGGGTTCTGAAACACTCTACAAGATTATGTTATAAGAACAGTAATGAAAATCGATAAGGCGTTAAGATTACTAAGATTACTATGCTTTAGTATTCATTCAATATGTGGGTTACTTTAAAATTTCATCTGAAGTTCAATATGTACATAGGAATTACAAATTAAAATACAA